TGATCTGTCACTGAACTCATTTATTTACGCAAATTCTAAAAGTAAAACAGAACAATGTACATATCAGCGAAAAGTGTTAGGTATCATAACATTTTAGCTAAGAACCGAAGAATTTACTACATCAGTCAAACTGGGCGGGGACCAGTCAATGTGGATCATATTCCTTTAATTACAGCCAGCCATTTGAAAAGTTGTTGGCTATTAATGTTCTGCATATACAACTTATCAGCTATAAGCAACACCTAGCACTTCTTCTCCATGTTTTCACTTTGTAAACATACACTGTAATATTATCAAGTGACTTATGTGTTGTCGGCCACACACTGAACACACAGCACTGCATTATGTATGTTAGTCACTAGTGATATTACACGCAAATTAAGTGCATTACATGAATACAATAACATAGACTTCTATAAATGAAAGCATGAGACCCAATAATAAAAGTTTTTTAATGATGGAACAACAGAGAAAATGCAGAGAATGTTGTTCAGCTGTATCTATGGGAAACCAGTGGAAAAGTAAAACAGAACCACAGAAAAAAAGAGCAGGGAAAAAACAAGAGGGCTAAATTAAAGCCAAATGTGTGTGTGTGTGTGGTGTATAGTGGTGTGTGTGTGCTGTGTGTGTGTGGTGTGTGGTGACTGCGTGTGTGATGGGGTGTGGTGTGTGTGTGCTGTGTGCCCGTGTGTGTGTGTCGTGTGCTGTTGTTGTGCGTGTGATGTGGGGGGAGGGGGGGTTATGTGTCTGTGTCAGTGAGTTATGGAGCTGATGTGAGCAGGGTGGGGTCAGTGGGAACTTTACAACACAACACACCCAACGAAAACAAACAGCCTGAGGCAGGTCTTGTCTCAATTGACTGCTGCCATTAAAGAAGCAGCTCCTCACACGACAAGGGTCATCTGTCTCACTCACTCACTCACTCAGTCACTCACACACTCACACACACACACACACACCTGTTTGTGACCTTTTCCTTTTAAGACTACAGGCATCTTTTAAAGTATGTCAGTTCAGCTGTGTGTGCGTGTGTGAGCAGCTATCCTCAGTGCTGATGTAGGCACCTTTTAACAGAGAAAGGGAGCACCCTGGCACTTAATAAAAAGTGTTGTGTGAGTCCTAGCATAGTAATATGCATGCTGATGTATAAGGTGTGTGTGTGTGTGTGTGTGTGTGTGTGTGTGTGTGTGTGTGTGTGTGTGTGTGTGTGTGTCTGATGTAATGAGCAGTTTGCATTAGCTAACAGGGCTAAGGTTATCCTACAGGAGATATGACACCGCAGCCTTACATCCCCTGACACCACCTCTCATTACACCAACACATATGCACACACACATGCACACATTCATACAACGATAAACACTGTCTAGAACATGAGAACACATATTCAGAATAAAACACTACTATACATAAATACACAGCCAAGCCAGGACTGAATTGGGATGTGACTATATCATACAGATTGTATCAATGTCATTTCAAGATCTTTTTCAGTTTACAGCTGATTTTCCTTTTGTCTGGGTAGAAGTCATGGAACTGCAGTCATCCAAATCGTCCAGCACCTGGGGATTAGCTGAAAATCTATGCACTAATATCACCACAGGATGCATCACGTAAGCAGCACATAGTATCTCGTGTGAAACTTCACTCTCTACACACTCAGAAGAGAATAGACAGCTCCAAATAACATGGCCCTAAAAGTTCATTTTTTTGTCCAAAACACCATCAAAACAATGAAAACATAGTGGGTGGTAAAGTAGTAATATATTGAGTACCTGCTGACGAGCTAAACACTGAAAGCCCATTGGCTGGTCACAGGGTAACTGCAGTTCAGTGGTTCTAAGCCAATAAAAGTGTTAACTGGGAGATGGACATAAGGTGTGAAGCCCTACAACGTTTCACTAATGAAACAATCTGTCCCTCTCAAAGTCTCAAGTCGTCCTGGAACAACCACAGCAAACACAGGTGAATATGGAAAATCATATCAATAAAATGACTGCATTCTGCAGTACAGTTCAGTTACAGTAGTCAAATGTCATGTCCTATGGGATTTAAATCATACATTTATACATATGGAAAAATAATAGCCTTAAAATGTAAAATATTGCTTTAGGCCATGGCTCTGTGTGTTAAGTGTGTTAGATGTGTTGTTAGAGAGAAAATTAAAATTACTTCAGACACATGTAAAACATGCACACATCAATAAGCCTCTGCCTTAATCTTCCCGCCTTTCTTCAAGTACAAGCAAGCAGTTCAGTGATGGTAATAAGAACTAATGAATTAATCATGAAAAAAATAATGATATCCATACCAATATCAACATCCCCTGTCTTTGAGACCATAAATCCCACAATCATGCTGTCTGCCTCTTCCTTGTAATGTATGTAAACATTCAATCCTAGCCTCGTCAAGTTCAGTCAGGTGACTCAGGTCAGGCTGACTGTGACCATTTGTCTGTCGTTCTTGTGACAAACAACTGTTTGTTGGTAAAGTACAGAGAAGAGTGTTTACTAGGCTGGTAATAGTGCCAGAGACAAGGGGAACAGGAGAGATATCACATAACTAAATACACAGTAGCTATAATTCACCATATAATTGAACGTAATTTCACACTGCAAATATGACTGACAGTCACTTTCTTACTGCAAGTACTTTTTTTTGTTTTTAACTCTATCTGCATGAATGATCCACAGACATAAATCTGTCTATGGAATAGACTGGAGATCTGTGTTACAACCTGTTCTTTATCTGGATCTTTTCCAGTTCCAATACTGGTTATCAGATTACTACATCATCCTGCTGCTCCACCTACAGCTACTACAGCTACAGCTGTTACTACTACCAGCATTACATGTTCTATTAATACTCTTACTACTGCTGCTCCTATCATTAGCATCGCTGAGGCACTGATCAATCCTACGATAGTTGACCACAGACAAATTCGGCTGCATGTCAGCTCAGACATTCCTTACTTCTTTCACTTTGTTGTCTGTTTCTCACCACACTACATCCACCCCAATCTTTCAATTCTGCTGTCATCAGCTAATTTGTTATCAAGGAGGAGAGCTAACATAACATCACCTGCCTCTATGTGGGATTCCTCACACTGACTGAGGTGAGTGGCTACACAGCATTCATTTACTGCCACACCATGGCTACTGTCAGGTATCAGCTCCAGAAATGGAGGTAATGACTCTTTAACCTGTTTGTGGAGCTGAATTTATTAAGTGATTAGTTGATCAACAGATTAGTTCTATATTAAGTCGTTTTCATTCAAGGTAAAATAATAAACTTTAGGTTTAGAGTCAGGTCATCATTTCTGATTTACGTCACTGAGATCAGACTAACAGCATCAAAAAAAAGTGAAGGAAAACAATATTCTGTTATAAGAAGTAACAGAGCTGCAGAGGGGTGGGTTTGGCATGACTGCTATGATGATGGAACTGGTGCTGTGTAAATGTACAATATACGAATTGTTAGCTCTAAGATGTTAACTGTACTTCATCTAGGTAAAATGTATCATGTTAATAGGACCAGTGGTTAGTCAATTACATTTGACTTAAAGTATTAATTCACTGAGCTAAAACTCCTGTGTGTGTGTGTGTGTGTGTGTGTGTGTGTGTGTGTGTGTGTGTGTGTGTGTGTGTGTGTGTGTGTGTGTGTGTGTGTGTCTGTCTGTCTGTCTGTCTGTCGAGCTTTTGTTTAAACAGTCTTATTTTAAATGTGCTGCTTTCAATGAAAAGAACATTCAAGCTACAATAAAAACATTCAGTCCCACAGGAAATAAATGTTTCTCAAATTTTCCGTTTAATGCTTCCCTTGGAAATCTTTTAAGCTTATGATTTCATTGATATCAATTAAATCTGACATTTTTTTCTAAAAATCAACTATTCACAGTTTTTTGAAGCTCACAGCTTCATTCCCCACTTGTAAATGTGTCTGTACTATATTTTGATGTTGTTGCTATGACAATAGCAGCAGGGCAGTGATATGACGAATCAGTGAAAAGTCAGACAGTGAGAAAAACAGCAAGTTAGTCTTTGAACTCTTATCTCCCATGCGTGTGCCAGATGGCGCTGTGCACTCTGCTATTACATAATCAAAACACTGAATCCCATTTCCACACACACACTCGCAGCCACTGTCAGGCACACACACACACAAACATGTACACAGTCCAAAACTAAATGTCATCAATGTCAAACACTTATGAACCAAATCCTTCAGTCAGGAGCAGACACGAAAACATTCAGACTCAAAATATGAGTTCACACAACCACAGCATGAGCATGTCAACAGAGAGCACTGTCTGAAGTGTGTATGATACAGTGTGTGAATGTGTGTGTGAGAGGAACAGAGTGACATACAAACAACAAAAACACCACAGCAACCACACTGCCACCACACCAAAGTGCGTGTGTGTGTATGTGTGTGATGACAGAGACACAAAGCAGACACAGCATCAGAGTGCAGATGTGTTCACCGATAATAACACACACACGCACGCGCACAAACGCGCACACACACGCACACACACGCACACACACGCACACACACGCACACACACGCACACACACAGCCACAACAGAGTGGGACGTTCCAGTTGAAACCACTCTCAGACAAATACATTTAAAATGTATTTGTCTGAGAGTGGTCAAGCTCAACAGACACAGTCAAACACTTAGCAGAACCGCTGGTAAACACTGTGAGTAAATGAGTCAAAAATCTCTGTGAGATAGGCTCAACAAACTGACGGAGGCAACGACAAAGCTGGTAACTGAGGCTGGGCTGCCACTCAGTAACCACCTATATCCACAAACAGATGCCAGTGAGGATGAAGAACAATCAGAACCATCCTGAGACTTTGTATTTCAATAACAAACATTCAATAGTTTGTGGTAAATACTGCAGTGAACGTTCAACATCATAGCCAGCTCAGTCACACGGCTAACTGTTCCTATTACTGTGTCCAGCCTATAAATAGAAAACAAAGGTCTTACCAGGGCAGGCCACTGTATGTGTTTGGCCTTGGTTGCCTGCAGCAGGCCTCCTGCTCCTCCACCTGCTCCTGCTCCTCCTCCTGCTCCCTCCTTCCTCTTGGCCCAGACCAGCTGGTGCTCCAGTAGAAACAGCTGGAAATCCTCATAGACCTTGACCCACTCTCTCTTCTCCCACTCCTGATCATCAAACTCCACATATACCTGCAGAACACACAGAAAAATAAGATTCAATAACAGCATCACAAACAAAAATAAACCAAGTGTGTAGGTGTGTAGAGTGTAGTTTGGTTGCGTATGTTGACTCGGGTTAGAGCTGCCTGTTTGGACATTTGGGTTCAGCTGGAATGTTTGGCATTTTGACACATTTCTATTCTCATTTCTGCAGTGCAGGTCGACCTCTCACAATTTAACACCAAGACCCACATTCAATTGTTTAACACTTGAGAAGAAGAGAAGATGGAAAAGAAAAGAAGAAGAGGGAAAGGAAGAGAGGTTTGAATCCAGCCTGGGCCCATTAACGTTAAATGTCCTTATCATAGACAGATAACCTGTTCAGTGTTTCTAATACGTAGATTTGTTTGTGGCAGCTCATCACAGCATCAGCATAGACCGCTACACATTGATTTTCTTTCTTTTTTTCTTCTTTCTTTTTTCACGAGGTAAAACCTCTCTCTCTCTCTCTCACACACACACACACACACACACACACCCACACACACAAAACATTAACATTGGACACATCTGTCATAGCTGGAACAGCCATCAGAGCACCAGAAGAAATCCCACCATCTCAGTGGGCTGGTGAATTGTCCAAAAATCCATTAAGTTTTAACCGTCCCTATCAGTCTCTTTACCACCTCTCTCTTTCTGCGTGTGTGTGTGTGTGTGCGTGTGTGTGTGTGTGTGTGTGTGTGCGTGTGTGTGTGTGTGTGTGTGTGTGCGTGTGTGTGTGTGTGTGTGTGTGTGCGTGTGTGTGTGTGTGTGTGTGTGTGCGTGTGTGTGTGTGTGTGTGTGTGTGCGTGTGTGTGTGTGTGTGTGTGTGTGTTATTCAGGGTGCACATATCTGCTGCCAGGGCTGGGCTCACTGGCCATTCTCAATACGTAATTGTTTAATTGTTATTTGGCACAAGGTGAAGAGATGGAGCTGAAAACATTTGCTAGGGCCCCTAAAACCTGCTAAACTCTGATGACGCTGGAGAGGAAGGAGAGGAAGCAGGAGCAGAAGAAGAAGAATAAGAAGAAAGGAGCTGGAGTAGAAGAGGAAGGAAGAAAAGAAGTAGGAAGAGTAAGTGCTAAAGGAGAGAAAGGGAAAGAAGTGAAGGGGTGGGAGGAGACAAAGAAAAACAGTAACATCTCTGATAGAAAACGCAGTGTGAATAATAAAGGGACTTAGGTGAACTACTAGGGCGGACGGTGGTGCAGTGGGTAGCACTGTAACAGCCAGAAGGTTCTGGGTTCGAACCCCAAGCCAGGGGCCGTCATGTGTGGAGTTTGCATGTTCTCCCTGTGCCTGCGTGGGTTCTCTCCAGGTACTCTGGCTTCCTCCCACAGTCCAAAGGCATGCTGGATAGGTTAACTGGTGACTTTAAAGTGCCCATAAGGGGCGGGTGTACCCTGCCCTCACCCAATATCAGCTCCAGCCCTCCTGTGGTCCTATAATGATAAGCAGTATAGCTAATGGGTAGAAATGGAAGGTAAATCACTGACAAGTCAGAAAAGCCTCCGCTAAGGAGGTTAAGTGTTCACCTGTGTTTGTCTGTCAGCAGGATTATGTAAAAAGTGCTGAAGTGTAATTCTAGTTTCACATTTCATTAACATTTACAGAAGTACAGAAGTATACACATGAACACAGATACTGTAAATACATCCAACCAGGTTGAACACTAAACTCCTGAGTACTTTTGACAGACACAATACAGTTCTGAATACACATCAACTGAGTTCAGGCTCAGACTACAGTATGAGCGAGGCACCAGCAGCTGTTTGAAGTACATAATATTAAATGCAGTTTGATCATATGTAGAGGTTTTCTAACGTCACAGAAGCCTTTCAATTTGCTGCATAAAAGTGTCATTTTATGAGCGTGTGTGTGTGTGTGTGTGTGTGTGTGTGTGTGTGTGTGTGTGTACCGATGACTGTAAATAAGGGTATTGCACTGGTGATGTCATTTTGGAGCCACAGTCTACGCAGCAGTAATTGGGGGGGCCAGAGCCGCGGTATCGAATTCCTGCCCACACATCCACCCAACTCACTCTGGACTTGATCACAGCTGTCAATCACTACGTCACTCCCCCTTCTTATAGCATCAAATAACTAAATAAAAACCAAACGTATCAGACAAAGATTACGAGAACATACATCAGCATGATAACAACTACCTAAAGGACAGAAAACATCTTTGGGAAAAAGGTTTTGATGTGGACTTTGATTTTTGAATTTGACCCATGTATGGCGGGGGCGAGGTTTATGACCCACCACCAGGGGGTGATCAACATGTTTTGGCTTCACTTTTAGGGAGGAGTTATGTCGTCCATCTTTATCTATAGTCACTGGCGCACATTAGGAACATTTCCCTCTTCATCACCACATTTCCACTCTCTCCTCCAACTGATCTTAGAGAGAGAGAGAGAGAGAGAGAGAGAGAGAGAGAGAGAGGAATCAATGACTGTACCCCTCCTCATTCAACGTCACTTCCCCTTCCCTCTACCATAAAACACTCCTGCAGTCACCTGTCCTCTTCTGTTTACCGTTTCTGCCATCTATCCATTTATTACTACCTGCTTCTATCCTTTCTGTTTCTATCAGCTGACCCATCCTGCTCCACACCTCCATCGATTATTGCTGTCTCTCTGTTTCAGTTGTATCAGTGCCATTCATTCCAGCACACTGCTCTCTCCACCTTCATCAGATCTAAGCCATCACTCTCACACACTCTACCGTCCTATATCCATTCTTTCATCCCCAGTTCATTCCAGACAACAAAGGTTCACCTCCATCTCTCATGTCACAGTCTCCGTTTCAGTTCAGGTGATTGTCATTAACTTACTTTAATTAACAGTTTCTTCTTTCAGTCTAATTTAGGGACACAACCAATTATTTAAATTACTGATTCATCAACTATATTCCTCAACTATTATTTGATTAATTGATTAAGTGTTTACAGTGTCAATTACAAATGATCATCACAATATCCTGGAGTCTGAAGTGACATCTTCATGTTGGGTTTTGGGCTGTTTCTCAGAAACAAGCAAAGATGTTCAATTTGAATGACATAAAACAGAGGCACTGCAACCAATCAGGGCTGTAGAGAACAATAAATTTCATTATCTGTTAATCTGATGATTATTTTCTCAATTAATAGATTAATCTTTTTTTCTACATGTCAGGAAAAAAACTAAATAAACATCAACACAGTTTGGTCATACTGATGGGCAATTTAGAAGAACCGTGGGATACAGTATGTTATTTCAGTTCAGATGTGTCAGATAAATATACAAATAAGGAATTATTATTTTATTGTTCAGTAAATGTTTGTATGATTGTGCCTTGGCATTAGTAGCACTTTAGTTAAGGTAAGAGAAAGAACACTCTTTTGTTTAATACAAATAATAAAGTTGAAAGTGACTTGACACACAATCCAGACCACAATTTTTCCTGAACACCAACCAAAGTGCTTTTGTTGCCTAAACCACAGAGAGGCCTCAGGATGTGAACCTGGTCTCTGGAGCCACAGTCCTTTGCATTTTGCACCAGCCATCCACTGATTCTACTGCCATTATTAATAAATGTACCACGTCATTCATCCAAACATTACACTGCCTCTGAACATTTTCAGCCAATGATTACAATTTAGTACTATATAAAGATCATTTGGAGTAGACATGGTTATGCTTCAGAGCAGTCAAGCTCTGAGCAACTGCAGGAACGACTGGTGATGCAGAAGCATAAAACCACAACAAACCCCGATCACAGGGCTGTTTCTCTGCTTCAGCTCTTTAAAAAGTACGGACTACAGGATTGATGGTGCTGACGGCATGATGTACAATCTCAGTGCAGCAAGATGTGACATCACAATGGCCACAGTTTTTACCTGTGAAACGGTGTGTAAACTAAGCGTTATCTACAGGCATCTAACGCTCTGCAACTGCATTAAAGGGGCCCTATCATCACAGTGGGATGTGACATTATGAAGTGCTACCACTGTAGAGCTACAGTGGGCAGAGGAAATGAAATGAAAGAATCAATGTATTACCAGTGAATTACCAGTACAAATCCTAAAAAAGACTTAGCTCATGGGTTTTAATATTCTTATGGAGAAAAAATAATACAGCAATCGACCTAAATGTTCATTTTCTGTTTTCAATCCAGTTATCACTACAACAACCACCACTGCATTCAGATCAAAGCCATCAGTAAATAAGAGACCAGTGGGCCTGTTACACCCGTATTCAGATTCTCCTCCATTATATATCCCTCCTCCTGCAGCAGCTGGTCTGTGCTGCTGTCGGTCATGTCAATGAGGGATCATCCTGCTGTCTTCTCACCTGGTGTGACCCTGGAATAGTTGTACTGTTCCATCTTCAGTACACTATACATCCGAATAACACACTGACTTTCTTATTGTTGAATTGGGGCATCTTTTGGTAAAGGTGCTACATAATTCAAACTTGACAGCTGTATTTCAATTTCTGGTGCAGGAAAAACTCTTCACTAGTGTGTGTGTGTGTGTGTGTGTGTGTGTGTGTGTGTGTGCGCACCAGAGTAGGAACAGCTATATATCTTCCTGATCCTACAACCAATCAATGCTTAAATCTAGTGAGTTATGTGTTGTAGCTCTCTGCAAAACCAAAATATATCACTGCAAACATGCACAGCATCTGCTTTAAATACATGTCTCTGTGTATTGCAATGTCTTTGTTTCTGCTGCCTGAGTTGGCATCTGTATCATTTATTCATCTACATATAGATTATATATATACACACCCAGGATAAAGGCTGCAATAAGAAGAGAAGAACAGAAAGACAGACTCCTGCTGTCAGTGTCATCTGTCTGTGTTCACTGATGACTATCAGAGAGCATATTAATAACCCTGACACGTCCAGAGCAGGAATGACACTGTATTCTGTTTACACAAAGAAGAACACACAAACAGTACACTGAGTACACCGAGTATTCAGTTGAGAAAAACGTACACGTGCTA